GGGAGTTTCACTAAAACACCCAAAATAGGGGTTGAAATTATAAAAAAACCCAAGCACTATTTAAACATAGAAACACACCCAAAATCAATCCCAAAGTCAACTTTTTGGGTGTGTTTATAAATGGGTTTTGAGTGTGTGTAATGATGGGTTTTGGGTGTGTTTATAAAGTGTTTTGGGTGTTGGGTTTTTTTATAATTTCAACCTCCATTTTGGGTGTTTTAGTGAAACTCCCTATTTTTTAAGCATGGTAAAGTGCCTAATTTTCATGAAAAGTCAAATTGGTTTACATCTTTAATTATTTTTCAATTTTTGATAGAAAATAAATATAAGAATGCTTACCCTGTCCAATAAATAACGTGAAATAAATTGTTGCTTAATCACTTAAATCTCTATAATCATTTTCTTTATTTCCTATTTAATTCTTCCTTAGATAAATTTATTTATATTCAATAATCAAAGATCCATCAAGCCTGTTAAATGGATATATGTAGCAACACCATAATTGATAAACACAGAAAAGTAACTCAAACCTGTGAAGTCATCATTCCTCTCAAATTTGTTATCAGCTAACCAACTAGTATAAACATCATTATTTCGTGAACCATGGAATCGCCCAGATGAATCTGCCAAACCAGACTTGTCCGAAAAATGAGGTCCTTTTCTCAGATCATAATTCGCATTTTCTGCCCCAGTAGCAAGAGTGGCATCTGAGAACTCTGAACCAGCACGCTCCAAGGAAGGCCTGCCCAGTGGTTTTTTCAAATTTTTGGTCGGTGGTCTACCTCTTCTTATAACCTTGGGTCCTGGCTCATTATCATCACTATCTTGTCTCAAATTATCAAAATTCTTTTTTGCTAGCTCATGTATGGAGCGCGCCTGGAAAGAAGCCACCAAAGTTCAGAAAACACACAGATAGCCTCAAATGACGTAAGAATAAGAGCTGGATCTAACTGTACCTGCCGAAAATATATGGTATCTGGGGCATTGTACTGCATTGCATTGGAGCAGATTAAGAAGATATCACTCTGCAAAAGCATAAATCAAATTTTAATTCTGATGAACCAAAGTTCTTGCAATATTACAGAGCATCACTCCTTCACCAATGGCCTAATGCAATTCTATGGCTAATTTTTCAACAGTTAAAACAAAATTACTCAATTCTCCAATGGCCTAATGCAATTCTATGCTTATTTTTCAACAGTAGAAAAAATCTGTAATGTAGTACTCTATTAAAAAATATATTTTAGAATAAAACATATGTATCAGTGAATTCTTGGAACGTATAACGTTTAATCAAGTAGATTGCATAACATCGATACATGGTTAAATTTTTATTGCTTAAACTAAACAAGGAGTGAATTATATGCGGTCTATAACTGCAAAAGCAACATGGCGGTAGCCCAACTTTCAGGATGGAAACATCTGCTAACCTCCTCCCTGAGCATCCTCCACAATACATCATCCATATCACGCATTAAGAACAATATCTGTTTCTGACAAATGCATCAGAACATTTGATCTTTTTGCTTCAGGGGAGGCGATCACAATTACATTGTATCACTAAATTGCAGTGTTTAATCTCCTTTACATAACAATATGCATTCTGCTAAAAACAGCAAGTACGTGTTCTCAAGAACATCGCAACCAAAGAATTTAAATTGAAGGTAGTCCATTAAGTATCTCTATTAAGTCACTGAATGAAGACAAGGCCATTTAGAAAAAGATAAGTTGGTAGCCACGGAAATCAGTCTAGGTGATATTACTCTTATTAGGTACAACCATGTTAACAAGCCGAGAGTAAGCCACCCAAGTTTATTTCACACTTCTGAACAGAATCTTCATTAACTCTCTCCCAAGTGAACTAAATTCTAGAACTGGACAGGAAAAGAAAAACACTAATTCTAGAAGTTAATGCTCCCATTGAGCACTAAAAATAGAAAGTACTTTAAATTAACCTATTTGTGAACTAATGAAATACCCACTCTACTAATTATGTAACTTGCCAGAAAAATCAAATGACCAATGAAAAGGTAATAAGACTACAGCTTAAGTGTTTAACATTTAACTAACAACTCATCAAAAGACCTCAATTTTAGCAATACAAAATGTTTATAGCAGTGTTTTCAGAGAAGATTATTATGTGGATTCCTACTTGCCACACCTTTTTAACCGTATTACACCAAATCTTTCATAATCAACCCACTGAACCAGCATGGCGAAAACACATCAAACACTGGTACAGGATAAGACCAAAAGCTGACTTGGGGATATAGATCATTCCACTATTATGAACAAAAACAGATGATGCAAGGAGGATTTAAAGAAGATGAAATCAGTGTAAGCTGACCTCAAACTGTTCCAAGCTAGTATACACTCCACTAGTAAGTTTCTTCTTCACCGTCCCAAAATCCATAGGATGCTCTATTACTTCATGGTAGTCCGGAAGCTGCACAGCAGAGGAAAAGTTCACTATAAAAAGGGAATCTTGACAACAGTCCTGGGTGTTAAAGCGTCGCCATTATATAAACTAACCTCTTTGGGGTCCACTGGTTCAGAAAACACACCGTACGTGTCCTTCCTGAAATAATTAAAAAAAAAACAAATATCATCAAACGGGAAACTTAAAGGCCAGAACAAAGTAAGCAAAACACAAATTCAGAAACCCAAAAAACACACTTTTGAAGCCTGTCGAGAACGAACAGCAACAGCTTTTTATCAGGTAAAGGCGTAGAGGCTCCAGAATCCAACGCTGTCCCTCCTGCGCACGATTGCAAACTCATTGATGTCAAAAAATAGCTTCCAAATGCAAATCCAAATGAAAATTCTTTCCATTATGAGCAAACCTTCGAGGGCGCTTGAAGGGTTTGTGGCTGAAATTGTCTTCTCACCCTGCAAAAGTGAATTAAATTTAGTAACCCAAAAACAGCACGGGAGCAGATGTACCAAATTTATTTCCATTGTGGGTGAGGAACCACTAGCAAAGTAGCTGTGAAAAGGCAAAGTAGCCAGGCATTCAAAGTGCCAAAAGGGGAAAATACAGTTACAAACTGTGAAATAATAAATTATAAAATTAAGAAAAAGAGAAAGGACAAATTTAAACTTTTAGCAGATATGACAGTCAAATCATTATTAGGCTTAGTAAATAAAAGATGAATTTAAGTTAGAGCTTAAAAATCCAGAAAATAAACACCAACAATTATGATCAGTTGAAAAAAATTCAAGAAATATATGTAGTTCTGCAAAATTCAAGACCGGAGAGAATTCCTAAAGACGGACCAGGTCAACCCATTTGCTAAGATTCTAGAAAAACCCATAAAAAACGTTGTTCAAAGGTGCGAAATTCAAGGAATATTTGAATTTCCAAATATAATGTCAACGTATATTTTTCCAGACCCCCAGAAAATGACCCCAAAAAAAAAACAGGGATTTTTGGCGCTTCGAAAAACCCCAAACAAAAATCCGACCATTTTAACCCAAAACTTCAATACCTTCTGAGGGTGAGCGAGCCCAGATCCATCGCCGATCGCATTGATTTTGCGCTTCTTATCAACCTCCGGCGCAGCGTTATCGCCATCGGCGTTGGACTCGGAGCCGCCAGAGTTCAAAGACGCGGAATTGGCCGACGATTTCTGATTAGGAGGCAATTTGAGGACGAGCTTGAGCTTTTTCTCGCGGCGCTTCCCGGCCAAAACGTCGTCGTCCTCATCTTCGCCGTCGTCCTCGTCCTCGTTATCGTCGGGGTTAGGGTTGCGGCGGGTGGATCGACGAACCGGAGCCTTGGCGGAGTCGGCAGGGGCAGTCTTGTAATTAGGGTTGGAATGAGGGGCAGAGTTGTTTTTGCGCTTCTGCTGCTGTTGTTGTTGTTGCTGCAGCTGCTGCTCTTGTTCTCTGAGAGTCCGTTTTTGAAGATCTAAAAGAGAGGGCCGACCTTTCTTCTTCTTCTTCCTCTCCACTACCTTACCCATTTTTGGTGCCCTCTCTCTCTCTCCCCCTCTCTCTCTCTAGGGAGACAACAAACAGGGTGTTATTTTTTAAAAAAATTAAAAAAAATTAAAAAATAAAACCAGTTTTTAGTTTATTTGTAATTTTTTACTTTATTTATTTGTATTTGTATGTGCGCAATGACTTTTGGGACGGAGGGGCATGCGAGTCACGTGATTCTCACACGGCTTTCGCGTGGCTCGACACGTGTTCCGGAAGATGCCAAACTACTCAAGTCGTGTCGGAACGAACCCGGTTCTGGCAAATGACTCGGGTTTTGTCTTTTATCTTCGACTGTCTACGAGGTTTTCTTCTTTTCTGTTTTTTTTGGTCGACACTGAATATGAGGTTCACAGTGTTTTAATGTACTTGTTGCTGTTGGGTTATTTAATGGTTGGGTATGGAAAGTTGGCTTACTTTTGTTAAGAATTATCCAAAACATTTAAGAGTGGACTATATAACATAAATGAGGTGTTACAAGTACAAATTTGCTCTCATTACTTTGTGAAATTTATGAAGAACCATTTAAGTATGTGCAAAGCAAATAAGGTAAGAATCCTAAAACAGTTGGATTTCACACAGTTTATTCATCATTTTTTTCTTTTCATCACCAAAATGGAGAATTCAGTAAACGTTGATTAGGCCAGTTAGTTAAAATAGTGAGCTCGCTTCCTTGCATACAAGTTCTATTCTTCCTTCGTATATTAAATTAATTTGTAGTACTTTTTTACTATCGATGTTTATTTGAAACCTTTTGCTATCTTTGTGATTGGTTTGTTAGTAAAGACTAAGCTCAAAAGATTGAGTATGGACTGTGGAATGAGTAACAAACTATGAGGTTTCGAATAACAAAATGTATTTGCTTGGTTGTAAATGGTATTTCTTACTACGTCGCATGTGATGATATGACACAAATCATTCGCAGGGTTTCAACTGGACCAAGTGATTGAAAGAAAGTTTCCTCTTTTAGACTCTCTGTTTCACAACACCTATCACAAGTTCCCATTTTGAGAATGAAAACAAAAGTTTCCATCAAATCCCACGCAAAATCCTGAAAAAAAGTGTAAAAGCTTGATAGAGAGGAAGCTGTAATGGGACCCACTTTCTTTCCGTGGGCCCAGCGCATGACGTGGTGAGAGGTCAGACCTGGACGGACCGACCTCGATGTAGCTTTGAGGAACCAAACCCCCTGTTCTGCAACAAAGTGAAAAATTGTGAAAACCAAAAGAACCCCAAATGTGTATAGCTGTGTTCGAATGGCAAAATCACCCAATTTACCCGCTCCTTCTGTTGTTCAACAGGGACGAGTTTAAAAGCAGGTGAGTCTGGCGCTTCTGGGTTGTTCTTAATTTTGTGTTTTTTGATTGATTTTGATTTTATTTTGTTGGGTGAATGAGCAAAAAGTACAAAGTAGGTTCGTTTTGGTTGAGTCTAACGCTACTGGGTTGTTCTTAATTTTATATTTTTTGATTGATTTTGATTTGATTTGATTTAATTTGGTGAATGAGCTAAAACTACGAAGTTGGTTTGTTTTGGTTTTGGGTTTTGGAGGCCAACAAAGCCTTTGGCATGGTGGGAAGGAGGGAAGATCTTAGGGGGAAGAGATGGGCTGGCAGGAGGGACATGGCTGGCTTGTAACAGAGATGGCAAGGTGGCTTTTATCACAAATGTTAGAGAAGTTGAGAAACTTGCTCAAGCTAAGAGCAGAGGGGACCTCCCAGTTCGGTTCTTGGAGGTGATTTTTGTGTTTAATTTCATATCTACTCTATCTCCCACTCTAGCTGTTTGTTTTTTGTTCTCTATGAGCTGTTGTTAAGAAGCTTGGTTTGCATATTTTGATGGGAATTGGGAACCCATGAATTGAATTTCCTTAGGGACTTTGCCTGCTTTTTATGTATTGGATTGCAGTCTGAAATTAATACCCACTCAAGTGAAAAAGATTCAAGATTTAAGGTGTAGGTGAAAAATCATTCAAAATTAGAAATTGAGTAAGGGCTCGTTTGGATTGTAGTCTGAAATCATATCTGTAAGGAGATAATAGGTGGAACATAATATATGCATATATCTGTTTATGTGTTTGTGGAAATTAATACTTAAGTGAAAAAGATTCAAGATTTAAGGTGAAGGTGAAAACTTCACTGAAATGAGGAAGTGGGTAAGTACTAAGTAGTTGAAAGGTGGAAATGTACTATAGGGAGTTTTAACTTTGATCATTTCATGTGATTCAATTGCTAACCAATTCTTCAGCTAATATCTAAAAGGAAATTTATTAATGTCCTGTTCTGCTTTCTTTGTCCCTTTTCTGATTCTCTCTGATGAATTCAACAACCATTGGACAATATGAGCTTGTTGCTATTTCTATTTCTTTTAAGCATGTTGATTTCCAGTCCAAATATTCAAATTAGTTTTCTGTCAAACTGATCCCTTTTGTTAGAGACAAGATGAGAAATATCACAGATTTCTGTGATTGCAGGGCAAAAAGAGTGCCATGGAGTTTGCTGAGGAAGTTGCGGAGGAGGCAGGTCAGTACAATGGGTTTAATCTGATCTTGGCTGATCTTTGTTCCAAGGCCATGGTTTATGTAACCAACAGACCAAAGGAGGACAAAAGTTTTGTCACCGAGGTCTCACCTGGGATTCATGTACTGTCAAATGCAAAGCTAGATTCTCCTTGGCCGAAGGTACTAAGAAGGCATGTTGATTTGGCTGCATTGCTTTCAAATAGTAAAAATAGATACCTCAATGAAGTTGGAGAGCCTTCATTTTTTAGCACAGGACTAATCACACAATCAATTGCTTCATTGTTTTGTTGGTTTGGCTTTTTTGCTTTAACATGGTTGCCATTTGTTCTGTTAGTTAAACCTCAAGCCTTCATTTTGAGTCAGCTTCTTCTTTTTCAGGTTCAACGACTAGGCGACAGTTTCAAAGAGCTATTACGCGAACACGGTGGCGACAATGATCTTCCAATGAAAGAAATGGTTGAAAAACTGATGATGAACACGATTAAAGATGATGAAGAAAGCTTGCTGCCTCACGTTTATCCTCCAGAACTGGAATACCATTTGAGTTCCATATTTGTAGAGAAAGCCCCTCAGCTGGTAGATCTAGCTCTCTCTCGTCCCTTCTAGTCTCTATCTCTGCTTTAACGCAATTTCTCAAAGGCTTTCTGTTTTTCATAGGGACATTATGGCACCAGAAGCACATCAGCATTGTGTGTGAAGACAAGTGGGGAAGTTATCTACCATGAGAGATATCTGGAAAATGAACTGTGGAAAGAAGGGACAGTAACTTATCACATGGACACGGATAGAGGAGAAGAAGAAAAATAGTTTATGGTTCCTTTGCTAACCTTAAACCCCATCCCATCTGGGATTTTTCAGACAAAAGGCTTCATTATTGTGGCTAGTTCAGATTTTACAGATTCCGTCTCTGCTTACATGTGGGTTTATGGTGCCTTAAACTTATCACTGAGATATGTTCATCTGAAAGGTTCGACCCCCCTTCCCAATATCGCAAGCTAGCTTATATCAAAAGAAAGATATGTTCATATGTGTAAACTATCTGTTTCATCATTAATCAATAACATAAGCATGAGGATCTCACAGCATGATCCGCAAATTCTTGAAGCCCATCAAACTTTTAGAACCATATAGTTATAACTTGTAACACTGAAGAGTTTTATTGACTTACATGTATATTTCTACAAGACAGAAGACAAACCATAGTCCTTACATAGAGCCAGAAAGTCTTAGACTACTTTTGATTACATGATACTATAGCATCACAGTGGTGATGGAAACTTCAGCTGTGCAAGTTAATTAAACTTTTTCCTATTTCCCCTTAATTAAGCAGCGCATGACACACATGCGCAACCCTCGCCGCACTTGCAGTAGGCCTTCCCGGTCTTGGTGCTGATGACGCTCTTAGCGCAAGTGCACGGGTTGCAGCCACAGTGCTCTCCGCACGAGCACGTCATGTGATCCCCGCCCCCGCTCGTGGCCTCGGTAGTGTTGGTACACCTGGTAATACGTATAGAATCAATATAAAATTACGTCTCAAAATTCAATTTGGATTCGTATTCGAACATAGGTTACTTGCCTGCAAGTGACCCCACCGGTACAGGGATTTGGGCAGCCGCAACTATCGTTGCAGCTGGCCTTGATACCTCCGGCTGTGGTTGTATCCGCCATTTTGCTCCTTGGTTGAGATTACTGAGATGAGAGAGAGAAAGCAAGCAGCTGGTCTTGCACTCCACTTGCTTCCTTTTATAGTGCCTCCAAGGGCCATGCACCAATGCCATATGGCACTAAGAAAGAGCAACAAGTGGAACATATCGTGGGAGATTCTAGATTTTAGCCGTGGTGGAGGTGGCAATACATTTTCATGCATTTCTTGTAGCTGCACCACGTATAGATATATGCATCAATAACAATGTTAACATTATTTTTTTATTGTTACGCAAGACGACGAAAAGTTAAGGGGCTGTCTGGTAACGTTTTCAGAGAATGTTTTTAGAGAATATTTTCAAAGAATGAAAACGAGAAAACAAATTTGCATTTTCAGGATTCAAGAATGCGTCTGGTAGATTAATTAGAAAACATATTCAGAAAATAAAAACAGTGAAAACGTGTCTGGTAGTACAATTTGAGAATAATAATATGTGAACTATTTTTCAAGTATATTTTTGATAATGTATGTTCTAAAAAGAATAATTACAAAATAATAAAATTCTAATGTTAGAAAAACATAGAATTATCTTTAATAATAAGTGAAAATGATAAATTTAAAAGTTGAATTTTGTTGGTTAATTGATAAACTGAACAAGTATGCATCTAAGAATAGT